GGAGGGGGGGGTGTTCACAGCTTTCTAAACTGTCACAAGATAATATATATAATAATTGTATATGTGCATATCTCTGGAAGATATAATTCATACACACATAAACATACATAAATATACATGTGTATATGTATAAATATATATAAATATATACACAGCATGCCAGACAGGCAGGAACTGAACCTCCTGCAAAAGGACAAAATAATAGTCAAACACATGACTGGAGCAGCCAGAGTTTTTACAGATCTCACTGATTGGACCCTAATCACACTCACACTAACCTACAGTTTATCAACTGTTGTGTTCTTCAAATATGCACACAACATGTGACTTCATATTGAAGCCACCTATTAAGAATATAGTGTGTCAAAATAAAATGGTTTATTAAAATATATATTATTATTATTATTATTATTATTACTTAGGGATATGATATTGTTGTAAATGTATTTTTTTTATTATTTTCAATTTAAAATATCAGCCTAAAAATCTCTGCCTCTTGTCCTTTTCCTGTTAATTCTATGATATCATTTTATATGTTATTTATAATGAATGACACAGTGATTTGGTACAGATGTAAAGGTCAGTTTAACTGATCATCAAATTATATAATTAGATATGAGACATTTAAAAATAAACCTTTTTTTGTACAATTATGTGGCAGGTTTATTTTGAGCCCAACGGTTAGTGTTGGGTTTAAACCTAAATACATCAACGTAAATTTGGCCACAAGGTGGAGCCATATTCTTAATTTTGTGCGTACCGTCTCATGTTGATCCTGAGTGCAGCCGCGGTGACAATGTATGTGGTTCTTGATTTTGGCCAGAGGTGGGCAGTAGAGGACAGCTGTGTTGTGTCCTGCTGTAGCATCTCCACCAACTGTGGTGGTGATGGAGATGAGAGAAAGGAAGACGGAAGGAAGGGGGGGGGAGAAAAAGAAGAGAAAACGAGAGGGTGAGGGGGTGTTGTTGTTTTAAGGGGGTGTTATTGTTTTAAGGGGGGGGGTTGTTTTAATTACCTACTGATTCCCTGGTTTGTGCTTCAGACGGTCAGGTCTGACGAAGACTTCGTTTCATAAATGTCAGGCTGACGTCAGATGAATTCATTTCTGAGGTCGACAGGTCGACTAACGGTCCTGCTCCTATAAACATGACGACAGTAAAGAGTTCCAGCTTCATCTTGACATCAGTTCTAGGACCTGAAGAAACAACCACTGGTGTTCAAACTAACGGGCCAGGACCATTAGTGGTACCATATATCTACTATCTGATTCCTATCAGGAGCAACTGAGTCATGTATGTTTTAAATAGAGTAAATAGACGTTTCTGTGTTTGAGCTAATACTAATAATAATACCTGTGACTAAATTCCCAGGAACTTCAGCTCAGAGCTCTGACACAACCAGGATCATTAAAATGTCATTTGTTTTAGATTAAAGGAAGGAAACCTGTGCTTACAATGGCAACAATGTCTGTAAGGAGCAGTGGGTGTGTTTGGAGGGGGGGGGGATGGAGAGGGGGTCATGAGAAAGAAAGTGTGTGATCACTACCTTCTATTTTATCAGATACTATATATATATATATACTGTATACTCTCTCTGAATATATATATATATTTAACAAAGTTGCATGGGGGGGTGGGGAGGGGGACTTGTTCAACGTACCAAAGACCTGAAAGGGCTGGGATTTGAACCCTCAGACAAGCCCAGTCCTTTCACCTGACGTCCCTCTCTCAGACGGTGATGACCCTGGACCAGCAGCTCAGTAACAGGTCAGTAAAGCTGCAGATGTCTGACCACCGATGACATCATCACTGCAAGAGAGAATTTATTTAGAAAAAAAAAAGGAAGTCTTTAATCCAGATCAGGTTCAGGATCAGGAGGAAGTCAGAGCTGAAAGGGTTCCTGTGGAAGCTCAGCATTGTTCTGAGTTGGAACAACACGGTGGAGGACGGTCCATGTCGCTGATGACTGATGATGAAAACCACTCATTAGTCCAATCCTGCTCCTGGTCAAACACACGTTAATTAGTCTTGACGTTCGTTTCCCTGCCTTTGTTTCCAGCTCTGAACTCACAGCTCGACATGTTGAAGCTACTGTGGTACCACACTGTGGATGAAGGGCGTTTAGTGCTCTTACCTTAATCCAAAAAGGTCACTGGTTCAATTCCCAGCTCTAATTGCCAGAGGGGGTTGGGGGGGTGGGCAGTGTCCTCCCACAGTCCTAAAACAGGCAGATTGAGGATTAGGTGTAGATTCACTCTAAACAAACCAGAGGTGTGAATGTCAGTGTGAACGGGGATTGAACCAATGATCCTCTTGCTGTAAGGCAGGAGGACCAACCACTGGTCCACCCTTGATAAAACCATACTATCGACGGCCTGTTTACTGTGATGATACTGCAGTACTGTGTGGCCAGTGAAGTATTTGTGGTGATGACGTGTAGTTGCAGTGAAAACACAGTTTTCATGTGTGTTTTGATGACCTCAGGTCTTCTGGACCTACTTTCTCATCATGAGACCGTGTCCCTGCATTAAAACAGTGGAGGGAAGGAGAGGCTGGGGAGGCTGGGGGGAGGTGGTGGGGGGGTAGACAATGTGGTGCCTGTGTCACTGTGTGCCAGTTCTCCAGGTAATACCTGAATATGCAGTTTTTCTTTTGACGAGTACAGATTAAGAGGTTTTCTGGTGCATTTCTACGGTACTTGTGGGTAATTTGTCTGCAGGGACCTCTGGGGATCAAAGTAAGGACAGCGGAGCCCAACTCAGGACACACACACACACACAGATATATAAGGAGCTGCGGTTTATTTTTTATTTAAACATAAACGTTACAGCACAAACATTTGTGTTGTTTTTTTTTTTATAAAGATCACAGAACACCACGTTTTCTACCAGCGATCAACACCTGAACATTGTGCGAGAAACAGTGTGAAAACATTGAGTAAACATTCAGCCACTTCACATGTCAGAGGTTCATTGTAGCCTACACCGGTGGACACCACTGCTCCACCGTCACGGCTCTTCTTTTTATTTGAAGTCACAAACAGGAAACAGAACTTTCACAACATTTTTTTTAACTCGTTATTTAAAGAACACAAACATGAAGTCGTTATATATATTTCAAGTGCTAAAAAAAGTGCTGCCCCCTGGTGAGCTCTTTATAAAATAATAAAATACATATTAACAAATAATTTAAGACTTTTTTTGTAAACATTGATTTAAACCCAGGTGTCGTTCTTGTTCTTCTACGTGAAGTACCGTCTTTCTTTAACGTGTGAAACAAACAGGTTTCCTGAACAACCGACGCCTACAGTATGTAAACATCATCGGTGTGTGTGTGTGTGTGTGTGTGTGTGTGTGTGTTAACATCATGGAGAAGGAAATAGAAAAACAAGTGTCTAGAACCGTTCTGAAAATGTTCTGAACCGGTTCAGTTCAGCTGCACCGCCTGCACTGCTGCCAACCTGCTGAGGGATCACAACTGTGGCTTCCCACGGGCCACGAGCCAACATTTGGAACAAACCAGACCCAAACAGAGAAACACAAATCCCTGCCCCCGCCCCGCAGGGAAAAAAGGGACTACTATATCTTTAGTCTGTCTGGATGTTGTTGAGGGGAACAG